CTGAAAGATTTAATGTCATTCTCTAGCTGGACAAGGGATTCTTGTTACCAAAATCCCTTGACAAGTAATAAGGATTGTTCATGGGATCACAAAGACATTTTTGTGCCCGTGCTTCATCCAGTAAATGATGAACATAAGGGAAATTGGTATATATAGTAATGGACTTTGACTTTGGATTTTTTCACTTAATTCGTTCATTACATTGAGATGACACACCACATATCTTTGATCATTTGCAGACTTTTCATACACTCTAACATCTTCCTGAAACACTGTAGCACAGACTGTACTAGTGCTGCAAGTCTAGGTTATGCTCATATATGTATGTGAATTACCGCATTTTTATTGCCTGGTTATTTTTACTCCCCTGGATTCAGTAGAATTAATTATAAAGGCATAAATTAGTACAGATTTTAGCTGATTTGAATTACAAACGCTGTTCTAAGAACGACGTTTAAAAACAAAGAAGTCTGAATTTTTTATTCCTAGAACTCAACAGTTTGCTTAATGACTTTATTCTGACTATTAGTACACAACAAATTCACATTCAAACACAATATTAAAATTGAAGGATTTGAAGGCAGAACATTGAACGGTGACAGTTCTTTTCAGGTACCGGTCACTACAACATATTACTTAAACCTGTAAAAATTTTACTGTTCCTGCCAATGATGTGCATATTTTAGGCAAACGGACATGCCTGAAAAATGCTTAAAGATTAAAAGATTGAAAAAATAGGCTTATTTTGTCTTATTCTTCTTTGTTTATAATTTGATAACATTAATGAGATGAGACTAATAATGTCCCCTTGCAATTGGAAAAACTGAATAAGTTCATTTCAAGAAGCAGAACTGGTTTTTCAGTGACAACAAATTACCTTCATTTTGCTCAGATATAAGAGATACTGTATTATAAAATTACTTTGAACCTTATTAAGGTAATCTTGAGTATGTAACCTATAATAGATCTAAAGCACAATGGGAGCCCTGAATGTGCTATCTGTAGAGTCCAGCACATGAAAATAAATGGCCCAAATTGCTCAGAAAATTATATTCAGACTCCTGTTATAGCTAGTTGATATGAGCAAATAGCATCTGTGAAACATCTTACCTTTATAAGGCAGTATAAACCAACACAATATAAAACATCCCCATATGTTTTGTGCTATTGCCTTTCCAAAGACTTCCTGCTTCTATCTATTCAAATTTGCTTTAGCTAAATCTGTGTATTCTTTGGGGACTTCTGCTATCTCTCTGAATATATTTAGGCTGTGGATGACTAAGTGTCTATTTTCCCTATGTGAACGCTGGTTTTCTCCTGTTACTGTTATTTGAGGGCAAATTTGGTTTTACATTAGCACTGGCAGCTGAAGAAATAATATTTACATGTGCAGACACTGATCACAAGCAGTCACCGCCATAACTTTAGAAATACTTTCTGTGCGTATATAAAGCTGAAATTAGAGCAGTTCTGACTCTTTTCTCTCCTTTCCTCAACTTGTTCGGAATAGCTGTAACCTGTTATCCTACCACATAAACTCTGCTTTCCAGGTTGGCTGTGTTGTCTTTAACTTCTTGCTACCTCTTTGCAATAAAGTCTATTTTACCACATGCTGCTTCTTCTTCTTCTTCATACTTCTTCATGCTTCTCCTTCCTACTTGCACTCTTGTTGACCCTAGAAGATGTGTCAATCTTGAACTCCTTCCCTCTCAGGAGCCTCTGCCTATTTTGGGTCAGCTTCCTCCAGATATTCTGGGGTTTATCTGCCCTTATAGTACAGATGTTTCTGTGGTAGAGATTTGATCTTCTTCCCGTAGCCTTTGAAATATTACCCCATTAGGGTGACTCTTTGCTGCTTCCTTCAGTGCCTCTCCCACTCCTCCTTTGGACCAGTTCCTCCAGAAGTCATCCTTAAAATGGTCAAGTTTTAACTTGCTTATTCCGCCTCTGAGGAAGGCATTTACAAGGAGCTGATGCAAATGTTTTTCTATCAGAAATCTTCACAAGCAACACCTCCAAAGTTTCCTCATTTACTGCTCTCAGCAGTGAGCTCTCTGGCAGCCCTCACTAGTCTGCACCATCAGAAAACAGAGCATGTCTCTTTCAAGATGGTTATCTCCAGGATGTGCATGTTTATATTTTCTTGGCACTAAGTATTATGTAAAAGTACTGCAGATTTAATCAAAATTATTAAAAACAAGCAAATAAAGGCTTTAAAGTAAAGGCATTGAGGAGGCATATCTGAGGCTCTTTTGCTTACTTTTTTTTTTTTTTTTTAGTTTTTCTGGGTAGTTTCTTCTCTGCCATCAGAAGGACCTGTCTCTCCTTCCTTAGATATCACTGATACTTATTGTCATGAAATATCTGGATGGGTGTAATGTTTTACACAAAGAAGAATTATGATTACTTCAGACAAAATAATAATGACTTTGCTAAATCTTGGGTATTTTAGAGAGACAAAACTACTGCTGTTGATTGAAAAACACATACCACCAAACTAATAATAAGTATATTATGATTATAATCACCCAGCAAAAGAGACTAACTTGTCTCTTTTCCTGGGATTAGAAAAGGCATATAATACACAGAGCAGGTGCTGGACCAGTAAGTATCAGCTCTTCTGATTTTACTTCTATAGTGTTTTAAGCAAGAGGGTTGACTTTAGTCTGCAGCTACAGACAAATGAATACTATGAATACCAAGCACCATTTCTTCAAATAAACATATTTCTGAATCTTGATCAGATTCTGGAGATGACTCTGTGAGTTAAATAGAGTTGTTCTTCTTAGACCAAAGTAGAGCAATTTAGAAATACACCAGAAGCTTCTAGACCTACCTTCATCATTCTTTTGGTGTGGATTCCTCAGATATGCCAGGAGTGGTATAATTCTGAAGTACAGCATATCAGATACAGTCAGGGCATGGACAGTGCTGAAAACCCCTATATCCTGGTCAACTATACTAGACAGAAGATTTTACCTCTCCGCCCATACAAGACTTGGATGTAGGACACCAAAGGGCCTGACTGATGAACACTATTGACTGATGAACACTATTGAGATCCAGATTTTCAGATTTGCAGAAGAGATGAATGAGTGACACTCTGGGCTGTGGCCATGTCTATTAGTTACCTGAGACAGAGGATGTCTTCTCCCTTGTTACCATGGTTTGATGTTTTCAGAATCAAAAAATAGTCTGTGGAGCACGCTGAGAGTTTATATCTGTGCTCCCATTTGGGATCAAGTTTACTTCAGGTTGATTCTCTGGGCTGCTCTATAAGAGCTCCAGTAGAAGTTTCTCAAACCTACTTCCTAGGAATTCAGGTTACATCTGAACAGAGGACTTGTCCTTTCCCTCACATGTACCTTAATGCAATAATTAGGGCTCTTTTTAGTCACTCACCATTAGCATTTCTGCTAATCCCTGCTGTTTAGACTGGGGGCTTTTTCCTTCTAATGACAGTGCTCATTATTAACAAGAAAGAAATATTTTGTTCCGAAAAGGAGAACATCTATCCTTCTGATTCTGATTATTTTATTCCAGCAAACAGAGTGTGAGGTCCTCATAGACCTTCTCTCTTTCACTTCTAAGAGATTTGAGAAATGTTAGGCATTCTACTATCATAGAGATATTTTTGTTATGACACTATTGGTAGGACAAGCTTATTCCTGCAGCTATGAATCATAATGTTATGTCAAAATATAATTAAAATTATGGCAGTTTGCATAATACATCTCTATTTTATATATATATATATATATATATATTGTTGTGGTTTGAGCCTGGTCGGCAGTCAACCACCCCACAGCCACTCACTCACCCTCCCTCCCAACCTGGGAATGGGGGAGGGAATTGGAGGGGTAAAGGGAGACTTGCAGGTTGAGATAGAAACAGTTTAATAATGGTAGTAAAATGAAAACAATGACAGCAATAGAAAATATAAACGGGCAATGCACAGTGCGATTGCTCACCACCCGCTGACCAATACCCAGCCCATTCCTGGATAGCGATCCCAAAATATCAAGATCCTCCAATCGCAACCCTGGAAGCGAGCGAGAGAGAGCCCCTTCCCAACCACCCCTCCTTTATATAGTGAGCGTGACGTTACATGATATGGAATATTTCATTGGCCAGTTTGGGTCTGGTGCTCTGGTCATGCTCCCTCCCTGCTTCTTGTGCACTTGCACACGGGCAGGACATGGGGAGTTGGAGAGACCTTGAAATCTCAGTAGCAGCTGAAAACATCAGTGTTCTATCAGCATTCTTCTCATACCAAAACCAGTGCTGAATCTAAAACAGCACTATTCTAGTTACCAAAAATCTATTCCAGCCCAAGGCATGGGCTACCAAACATCTAAAATATTTAATTCAGACTACCAGGATCACACCACTGCAATGCAAGAGTGCCTCAGTTGTCTGTGTTATACTTTCTGTTGGCAATATATTTGCTTTCCCTCTTCTGTAAAGTTTCTCAGATATCTCCTCTGCACCAAGCAGGTTTTTTTATGACTTATTGTCTTTACCTCTAAGTGACAAACATTCATTACTACTGTAGGTCTCATTAGCCTTTTGAAAAAGCACTGATTGAACATGTATTCCACATGTAATAAATTCATTTCTGTTCAGTGCTCCAAGATGATCATTCTTTTATTCGGATGACCTGTTTCCCAAATCACCAATCACACCTCCTGCTTCCCAATTCAGGATTTTAAGCGTTACTGAATTTCCATTTTCAAGTCCTTTGACCTACTGCAGAGTTGCAAACTTACCTATTCATTCATTTCACATTTTGTCCCTGAGGCAGCAGAATGAATTTGCCTCAATAAAATTCTGTTGCAGCTGAGCTTTGATTTTGTATTATAAAGACAAGCACTGAATCCTTGTTGGCATAAATTCCATTTAAGATATCAGAGCTATAGTGATTTATTCCCACTGATGATTTGTCTCAAAGGCATTATTCTTTCACCTATTTTTTAACTTTCTTGTGTTTTCTCTTCTAGGGCAACAGGCTTTGGCTTTTTGAATGCACTATGCAAAGCAGCAGCTGTACTTGGAAACTTAATATTTGGTTCTCTTGTTGGTATCACCAAAGCAATCCCTATTCTACTTGCTTCTACTGTTCTAGTATGTGGAGGTCTGGTAGGACTTCGGCTTCCTGACACAAGAACCCAGGTGTTGATGTAACTGGAAAAAGCCATTTACTATTTATTTCTTCCTTTGTACAAATGTCAACTCTCCTGACTGGTGGTGCAAAGGCTTCAGATTCTCAACTCTTAGTAGAGTGCTCAGATGTCAGAAATCAAACTCAAAAGATAATTTGGAGTGGCAGAGATTTAGAAACCTCTGTATGAAAGTTTGAAATTCCACTTTTGTTTGCTTGCATACATTGCTATTCAAACCACTTAACTTCAAACTGCAAAGCTACCTCTTAAAACACTTTCGGTGACATGCCCAGGAAGGTAAAAACCGTACTGATAATTAGATATTTAAAATGCAAGCAGTCATATTATATAAAAAATATGTGCTAAATTTGGCCATGACATTGTGAGCTTCTGTAACAGTATAGGCATACAAGTCTTAGTCTTACTTGGCAGTATCGGTTCAGAGAATATTAATGTATCAGTGCATGTAGCATTAATTAAGAAAATCCACAGATCACTTCGGAACTGAGAACACAGTTCTGCAGCTGTACTTAGATAGCAAAAACTTGTGGCAATGCCTCTTTCTTGGGAAACCTTTTTAGGCAGATTCAGTCTAAAGTGAAGATTACCAACTGCATCTCATATTTGCTGAGGAGAAGGCAACAGCTACTTCAGGGAGATGAAAAGACCATATAGGTAAGCGGCAAATAGAATAATATAATAAACAGTTTCATAATTTGCTGCTGATCCTCCAGAAAAATTTTGTTTTCTTCTCACTTGTGGCATCTGGAATATTTTTACCATTTTAAAAAAGTGAATTTGTCTTAATCCAGGAATGAATCAAAGCAAATATTTATGTTGTTGTAAGTATGAATAATGGAAGAATCAGATCACTGAACTATATGAAAAGTAAGATGCTTTCAGAAGCTTGTTTGGTATTTACACTTCTAATACATTTTTCTGTATCAGTGAATGGTTCTAAAAATATATGACCATAGAATGCACCTAGTAAATTGAGTCAGGTCATAACTTCAATATAGAGTATAATGTAATTAAAACATCTCAAAAGATTTTTTTTATATATATATAATAACAAGAAGAAAACAAATCTAGAAAATACCTTCATTTTTTTCAGAGTTTATACACTTCTTTATATAACCATTTTCTCAGCTGATATTTAATAGTTCTAGAAATATCTCACCATTTAACACTTTCCAATATCTCTCTGAAAGTCCATTAAGAAGGAAGCTATCACAAGGTGGCAGGGAGAGGTAATGCTTTTATTAGACTAAGTGCAAGGATGGAGAGTAAATGATAGTAAATATATTTCTTCTAAGCGATATGCTGTGGACTGTTCTGAATTACAGTAAAGAGTTCCTCACCAGTCCTACTGCTATGCAAAATGCTATGGGATCTCTTTAAAATATTAGCATTCAAAATTTAATACAAATAAATTTATAAAATTAACAGATCCTATGATGACAGAAACTGTCATTGATTTCAGTGGAGCTAAAACAACTTATATCAGCTGATGAACTGTCTGCAGTTTCAAGTTTCGAAGAACAAATTTATTATAAAACATAAAGAAATATTTATCAGGTTTTTAAAATTATTTCTGACAACATTTATTAGGTGGTTGAATCATTGCCAAAGAAATCAGGCTCTCAGAAGAGGTCATTGTGTAGTAAGATAGATTTTTTTTTCATTAGTTTTGGGTAGTAATATCTATCACTGTATTCTGTGTCAGTCATCATCTTAGTGGTATTGAAAGTGTCAGTAGAAGTCCCCATAAGAAGATCATTAATTACATTTAAAGCTTACTGTAATAATTTACTGATTCTAGAAGTTACATTTTTTGCTTACTAATAAATGCTTGTGCTACACATTGTAGCACCAAAATGTTAGCCCAAGATGTGGTTTTCTGCTATTAAGAAATTAAGAAAGTAGCTGAGTTAAAAAAGCATGAGTATGGAAAACTTGTGGGCATTTTTTTGATGTTGATAATTTAAATATAATATAGTAAGAAACAAAGTTTAGGAAGTGTGTTTATTTTGCAGTATAAACATTTAAGATATTATAAATGAAATATTTTATATTTAAATTTGATTTAAACATGTCTTTTAAATTTCTAACCTATGTTAAAAAGAAAGAAAAAAAAAAAGGAGGAAGAATTCTTTTTCACCAAGTTCCAGGTGAAGAACAAAATGCTGGTTTTAGTTTTGCATCTGTTACTTTTGTTCACTAGTCATAGTCTTAGTATTATGCCAAGGCTGTTTTCTCCAATGAGAATTATATTTGAGCCCTATTGCTCTGTGTCATTCATTAGTAGCATGTGCCCTCCTCCTTGTACTTACTGCACAATTTATTTTGAAATCTGAAGCCTCTGTACATATTTGGAGTGAACATCAACAGCAATGGTAAAATATTACATTGTCTTGTTATGCACTATGCACTGTCTGCTTGAAGTAGTATATTCTGTCCATCTCTGTATGTAATTTTGAAAAGCATCCAGATCCATCACTTCATGCCACCTGACCAGTGTGGAGAAATTGGGCCACAGAAAAATAAGGTTCAACTTTTGAGAGCTACAGTTCAAGGCTAACGCATTAAAATCTCATTACATGTAAAATTACGTTGATTTCAATGATGGTTCTTATCATAAATCCTGAATATGTCATAGGTATGTAACTAAGTCTGGATGAAGTGGAATATAGCAACAACAGGAATTAGTAAAGAACAAAATTCACAACTACATCGACCTTACATGGTCCAGAATTAGAGTGTTCTGAGGTAGGTAAAGGAAAAAAGAATAGTGGGTAGAAAAGGGGAGAAAAAGTAAATGGAAGAGATGAACAAATTAAAAAAATCCATGAACATTTCCAACATATTAAACAGTACTTAAAGCTAGAATTTCCCTAGCTGGTGAGCCAGTTGGCTCAACAGATTTGAACTAGTGCACAAGCCAGCGTCAAGCTGTTTGAATAACCTATTGTTTGGGCTTGAGCACAGTAAAGATTTATTTCACAAAGACAAAAGAAGTTAATGCAATTTCAAGTTACAAATTCTTGGTTAGATAGGTACAGTCCACAGGCTGGAACAGAAATACTTAATCTATGGAGATCTGGACACAAATAATACATTATAAACAAAAGTCATTTGGCTGGTCTTTAGCGAATTTGTCTTTTTTTGCAGCTTCCGGAGCAATCTTAGGTAATAAATAATGGACAGTAGGAATTACGCTTCCTTTCTATGTCTATTCACTTATATTTCTCACAAAGAATATCCTAGTGACCTGGTTAGAACCCTGATACACACAGAGAACCAAACTTGGTAACATTTGTGTATCAGAGCTATCAAACATATATAATCAAAACTGCTTATTTGTCTGTTTTGGTCACTGAATTGACTAACCACTAATTGGAAACTTCTTTCAGTCTAAATTGAAGTAGGATATAAGGTCTAGGGCACTTCTCCTGCAAAGCTGAAAGACTCATCCCAACCACAGCAATGACAAAAAGTACAGTGGCCCCTAAAGACCAAGGAAGACCGACAGTATTTAGAATGGTATTAACCATGACAGTCAACTACTTTCAAATTTTAAAAATGTCCACAAGAGAGACCACATGTTTTCATTTTTGGCAAAGAAATTTTATTTTAATTAGTTTTACACATTAAAGGTTTTCTGATAGTAGAGCTTGACTTAGCAAACTCTTATTTCTTGAAAGCATCTTATTCACTGTGTTTGTACATTTTAACCAGGTTGGCTATATTCATGCTAGCACCTTGTTGGTTGGAAGCATGTACTATAACATTTGGTATGCGTTGCGTTGATTGCTGATTACGGACTCCTAGCAATGGAATCAGGACTAGGTGTTCATTTTTTCTGGAGTGCTGAAAGGAATTTCAAATGAATTATATGTTGGAAAGCCTTCCTCCCCTATGCAAGTGCCCTTCCAGAGGTGTGTACTACAAAACTTCCACACAGGTGAAAAAGTGTTAGCCCTCCTTCCTCATGGCTCTTCTGGTCTACTCTTTGTTCATTATCTTAGAAAAGTGGCTCAAAGTAAGACTGGTAACTCAAGCTCTGCTCTTTTTCTCTTCATGTCCTTCCATTCATTCCATCCCACATTGCTTTTTTCACTACAGGACCAGTCTTAAATAAAGTCAAAACTTGCTGCTCATGGTCTCCCTTGCTTCTGGCTTCATAGTAACATTCCATAAGAAGGTTTGCCACATGTCTTTTTCAATTTGGCCATCATTTTTTAAACCAAGATGGAAAGTGAGCTCAGAAGTCCTTCAGACAATTTTACCCATTTGAGGCAGCCAGACTCCACATTTCCCTGTGTATCCAGAAGGCTGAACTAATACAAGGAGGGGTCTCCTCTCAGAATGGCCCTTGCTGGACTACTTTTGTTGTAGGTGCAGATATGGGTGAATCTTGTCTGTGTGCCCAGCTCAGCTCCATTTGTAAGAAATTCTGTTCTTGTTTTCTTTTTCTGCTACTATAGTGTGGTATCTTTGTGTAACTGCTCCTGAGGCACAACTGCTGATTGGAATTCTTAGCAATATAATCTAGTCCTTGGCCCCTCTATGGAAAGCCTCTGTGTGCTGGGCTTTAGCTCTCTTCTCTGTGAGTTTTAAAATGATCTTCATCAGTCAGAGAAAGATGTTTACATCGAGTCACACCTCTTTACCTAAACAAGATGATATCATGCTAATACAACTTACAAGCCATGTTTCCTGTTTAATAACCTGGAAATGCAATTGAAATTTCAATCACAATGTTAAAAAATGAATCCTTGCACTCAGGGGGTCAAATACACAAAAAGTGAAAACAGAAATGCTTCACTTCCTCTGGAGTCTTGAAAGAAAACACATGTTCAGTTATATTCCAGAAGAAAGCATGTGGGAGAGACTGCTTTTCCTCTGTATTTCCTGTCTTCTTGTTCATTAAACTTACTGTTAAATATTAGGTATTTGCCTGAATTAGTACTTTCCAATGCTATTAGTTCAGGAAACACAACATGAAAAGACAGACTTTTGCCTGTGGTTTGAAGGAAAAACAGGGGTCAGACAGTGATGTGGAATTAGCAGAGACATGTTAGCCAGAAAATCTGGAACTCAGTTCAGAACCTGAATTAGAGAGCACTAATTTATAATGCTATTTGCAGATCTCCCTCACTTTCACTTACCCTCACTCAATCTACAACCAGTCTATATGCTGAAATCAGCTTCATTTGCTTTCTTTTAACATTAGTTATTTCAAACAAGTGATGCAAAGTATTTTTGGATCCATTATTGTTATCGGCATCCTTTATTTTTTTTACAATGGTGAATACCCTACTTCTTCCTGCAAAGGAACGTTCCTTCAATATTTACTCCTACTCTAGATGTGTAAGAGTAATATATAGAACTTCATCCACATTCAGGTCCTTTCTTTGATGCAGTGGCTTAGCATTTCAAAAACAAGAAAAAGACAAAATGGGCCTGATTTATTCACTTTTATTATTTGATAATAGGTCGAATTATCTCCAAAGATGATGACCTGCAATATGTAACCATGTTTCATAGCCCTTGGAGTACATTCTGTCCAACTAAAAATTAATAAACCAGTAACTTTTGGCAGTGTCCTCCCATGACATACACAGAAGATACACTTACTAGGATCAAAATACTTAGGAAAAAAATGGGGGAAAATACAGGTGTAATTGGTTTCTGGGGTAAACAATCTTCCCTGATTGACAAAGGTCTAGAAGATATTGCTTGCTTCTGACCAGTACACAGTCCAATAACCAAAGATTGGAGATTACTTAACAATGAAGGTATTGTATGAGTATGACCTGACACAAAAGTATTGTCCTTTCCACTCAGGGTATTCATGAATATACATTTTAATGACACATACCTGAGAAGATTTGTAGAGATCTTTCCCCTACTCTGTCCATCAACACTTCTGAGCTGTAGCCAGACACATCCATCTGCAAGTGAAAGAGAGAAATTGCTGGCAGTCTGGCTTTCATCACTCTCTCCACAGCTAACCACCTAAGATCATTATGCTTGGATCCTAAGGATCTGATTTTTTGCTCATCTTCCTACTTTCTAATTTTGGACATCTACCACCTGCCACTCAGTTTTCACCAGTAGTCCTGACCAAGCAAGTTGAAGTTACTTGCTGCTAATGGACAGTGCTCATAACTCATCACAAGCACAGTACTCGAGTCCAATGTCCTATGTGTTCTTCCAGTTTCATCCATTGTTTAGAGCTAGAGTTGTCACCTAATATTTACCTCTGATAATACTGCATGTTTTCTAAGCTATAAGACATGTCTTCTATCCTCTTACTGTCTGCCTTGGAAATACATGTTTGTCTCCCACTGGCCATATGGTAAATGTAATTTTTGAATCCCATGTAAACCTGACTTACCCAGTTAAAAGGTGATCTTTCAAAAGAAGGGGTTCAGGAAATACTAATGAATTGGAATCAAATTAAATACAAACTATGAAGAGGAAGATTTCGAGGCCTAGGGTTCTATTACCTTTATTTTTGTCATCTGTTTTCCTTAAATCCTAGCCTGCATCTATATAATACTGTCTATTGTAAAGAAGAGGTATTACACAGTTAGAGGTGAATACACATACAGACACACGTGTGGGTGAGTATACACACACTCCCCTCCCTATAACACAGGTGGATGTAACACTTACAAACTATATTCTCATATCAGTCTTGATGACACTAAGTATTATTTTCTGCATTGTGCATTATGCTTTGAACACAAATAACACCCTGTTCCGCTCCTTAGGCAGAACCCTTTACTTATTCATGTGCAAAATTGTTGGGATGCTAAGATTCATCATCTTAGCTGGCCATTAGCTTCCAATTATTGGAAGGGAACTTCTGAAATGATCTGAGAAATGAGCTCTGACTTGGACGTAGCCTTCCCCCCAACCTCGCCACCATAGTGTGCCAAACAGCAAACCAGCACATTGTGCAAAGGCACTGGTCATGTTCCAGTGACTAGGAGACCAGCACTCCCAGACACATAAAATTCTAAAATCTATTAATTTTGTCTTATTCAGCCAGAATTCCTTCAAATTATTCCATGTGGATCTTAACATGTTCACTTCTGTGTAATGTGTGAGAAAATGTCTGTGTCTTCCTGTATTGTATGTTTTTTATTGTTTCTGCATACATAGATGCTGTATGTTCTAGTAATGTGGTTAAACAATTGTTTGCTGCTGTTCTTATCAGCAATCTTTGACCAGCCTGAAACAGAACCATTGCCAGGGTGTCTTTCAATTAATGATTAACACCCACAAAGATCTTCTACAGTAATTACTGCTGTATAAAGTAATTGCAGCTATAATTTGAGCAAATCTAGGGTGAAAATAACAGCATATGCACACAGAAGAGTGAGGCTGAGAGAGCTCTTTCAAAAGCTCTGGCAACTGCTACATTTCTCCTTCCCTCTTCACAGGATATTCACTCTTTGCAGTGTGTTTTCTCTTGTGGGGGACATGCACACATGCTGAAGAACTAAGAAAACAGCAGAAGAAAGAGAGTATTCTTTCCACAGGACCTAACAGTGTATATTTGCTATAGGAAAGCCAACTCTCTACTAAGATTAAAACAAACTAAACAAACAAACTCAAGCAGCTTGCAATTCTTTTTTCTTTTGTTTGTTTTTTTTTTTTTTTTCATGTGTTCTATGACTTGATAAACTGCATATCAGTCTATACCAAACCTTTGGGAGGAAACTATGAAAGGGTAACAATGCCCGCATCATAGTACTTTTGGAAAGCAGTGGGTTTTTCCAAAAGGAAGATGTACTCACTGAGTGGGACTATGGCATATAGTTTCTAACTGTTATCATGGATAGACAGTTTTAAGTAGAAAATTGCCATTCAGATTCAAAGTAGTAGTAGATAATAGTACCTTCTATTTGGAAACTTGTAAACATAGGTTAAAACCAATAGTTTAGAAGGAAAAGGAGAATGGTAAAATTTGGAGAGCGGCTTACAAAACACAACCTCCCCACAACTCTGACAAGCCTTACAGCTCTTTCCTGTTTCTTCGTGCCACAAATCCATTCTGATACACTGACTGATTTCATTAGTGCTTCACTAGTGAAGGTTTTTACTGACATTTGCAACAAAAATGAGAGCAAGCATGAAATGAGCACTGTAGAAAAGATAGCTCATTTATAAAGAGTTTTAAAAAAATGCACCAGGTTGCTACCGACTGCATTTATTGTCTTCCTGGTGGTTTAGGATCCTACAAGGTGTTACATGAAACTGGTATTGTGTGTGTAAACTGATCCCTGCTTAAATCAGTGAAGGAATTTACAGGATCAGGATCTTAGCTTTCTCTTTCAAAACTATTAAATACATTATTGTCTATACTGTCATGCTGGAATTGTTGTGAGAGCAATGTATTATTTTAGCCCTTATTTTTAACATGAATAATTTTAGCCTGTTTTTTTTCCCTATGAACGTAATGTTTCCCAAACAGTAAAAGGATTTTTAATAGCATCCCATGCTGCAAGCCTAATAAATCAACTGACAGCTTATTTTAACCATTTTCTATAGAGTATTGTATTAAAAATCACAATTAAAACATTCCAAAAAAATGCTACATTACCCTCAGCTGCATAACATCATGACAACTAAATTGTATCTCATACTTGGCTTCAAATATATGCAATAATGTACTATACATAATCAGATTTTTTTTTTAAGTGGGCAGTCTCCTTTACAGTGTAATGACATGCAGAAGCCAGGCATCAAGGACAAGGTACTGAAAGTAGAACTCTTTGACTTCATTGTAATTTATTGTCATTGTCAGATTACTGATTTTCTTAAAAACTTGTTAGCATTTTCTAAGGCTGAGCAAGAGAAGGAAAACATGTATTCTTTCCTAGTTTCTCGTGAGATGTACTCTGTTCCCAGTTTCTCCTACTAAACTTCCACTCAAATTGCCAATTGCTCTGAGCCAACTGGGAGTACAATATTTCAAACTGTCTTTAGAGTACAAAAGTGCAGGTGTGTTAGCGTGCATATGTTGTCAAGGAAATCATAACCATTTCTGACAGTCTCCATTTCTTAATGCAAGGAAACATGTACATATTGTATATACAGTAATGAGCTACTTTGAAGTCAAATTCCCATTTATACATGTTTACTTACAGATCCGCTAATCTCCAACAAGATCTTGGCAATGGTCCTGACCCTTCTGTTTCTTTCTTTCTTTGTTTTCCTTACTGCTGTGTGTGATCTCCTGTAAAGCAGGTTGCAGTCATCACTATTGTATATACGTGTTTGCATGTGTGTGCCTTGATAAATTCTCTCTTTTGGAGTTCTGAATTTTTCATTTTAAGTCCAGCTGGCACAATTGTGAACTCATCTTTCCAGTATGCTCCTCTGTATCAGATTGCCAACTTCCAAAATGTTTGACCAAGTGTTTTGATTAAGTACCCTGAGGAAAGCTGTCTGTATACTTGTGAAAGGGCATGCTCTGTGTAGGATGACTGTGTACAGTATAAATATATAAAGCGTGGAAGTGTTTATAAATTTATCTGCCAAATATTTATCATCCATGTAACAAATGCGAAGTTATTTAGTGTACAACAGATTAATACAGGGGCATTTTTTTGCTCCACTATATTCAAATAAAGATTTGTTCTCTGCAATGAATATATATCAGGTGTGATGATAGCCAGAACATCATTTTTCACTACCCACAAAATACTGAAAACAGATGTTTTACCTTAATTAGTTCTTTTACAAAGGCTCTCTATCTACCTCATCTTTAGTGCCTGTAACAGAGGTTGAACATGTATTAAAAGAAAGCATGGAACAAGTTAATAAAGTTAAAGCAATGTAAATGACCGTAAAAAAAGACAGAATAAAAGTTGCTATGGTTGCAAGAGACAAAGTTCTTTAGTCAACCATCTGGGATTCATATTTTTATGGTACATAATTGCACAAAATAGACATCTGGCCTTTCACTGCATAACTGCACTGCAGGGGTATGTTATCACCAAAAGGGTCTAACTCTATGTGAAAAGCACACTGCTGCAAGGTATGATGATCCATGCATCCAAAAGGCCAATGGAAATTTATACAATAAACTATGGTTCCATAAGAACTTGGTATTCACCAAAAAAAACCCCAACCAAACCCTAAAAACTGAAGCAGCATTGCAACATTAATTCCTCATTGCGTTTGTACACTAAAGGCCTCCGAAAAGCTTCAACAGATCAAATGTGGTAACTTTAAAATAACAAAAAACTGCTGAGTTATTTATATTCTGCCATATCCATGACTGGATCAGAAATACATTTCCAAATATAGGTTATTCCAAACAGATGATGGACTAAACAAAACACATGAGCCTCTTCAGCTGTGTCACTAGTAGGGAAAACTTCAGCTACATGTGGATTGAAGCATTTTTCAGATCATGCAAGAGCACTGTCTGCAGAACACTACAACCAAGGACATGTACGATTTTGTGACTGTCCTTTGTCAACTGGAGTATTTTGTGGTACTGCACAGAAGAAGCTTTCTGCATTTATTAAGTACAACCAACAGAGGTACTATTCTGTATTTTAGGTCTCCTTACATGTAAATCCTCATCTAGCTGTATTTGAAGGGGATTAGTAGCATAATTTCACTGTGGTCACCCTCTAGTGGAGATTAAACTTTTATGCATGTGTCTCCTACTCTCCTGGGATTTTGTCCAGAAGATAAGATAGCAATCCAAAAGGGAGTGTAGGAGAAGATTTGCACACATTCTTCATAGCTAACTTTCAGAAACTTCACCTAATGTCTAGAAGATATCTAGTAGCAGGGAATCTTGAAGTGGAGCACATCATCCTGCAAACAGGACACTTCATTTTGTAGGACTACATTTCTCTGTAGAATTTTGCAAGCATATGCATATATGTGACACGGTTATGCTAGCAAAAATGTGATGCTGAATTCAGAGCACCATGTATGTGTGTGTGTCTGTATGTTACATGAGACAAGACAAGTACGTAGGGACTGTGAATGCAAATGTAAGCAGAGGAGACATTTTGTGGTATCTGGCACTGCGTTTACCTAAGACCAAATGTTAAAATAGATCATGTGCATCCTCCATATGCTTTGGTTTCCACTAGGATGTGAACTAGGCTATGATTATTATTTAATCCGTTGCAACTGTAAAGTTACGCATGTAATATATTAGGCTGATGTAAGATCAGTATCTAACCTGAGCTGCTTCCCATCCTGTTTAGTCATATCTGGAACTTTTTTAGCACTTTATATTGACAGCAGAGAAAAGAAACATTGGCTTAAAGTTCCTTATAGACTTTCCTAAAAATATTAAGCTGAGCTGAAAATCAGACCACTCCATATGTTTTCTGGTGCCACCATATGTAAACTTTCATTGTATACATGTGAATCCACTCTTTCTGCAGTTATATGTCACATCTGACTCTCAGTGGACCTAACTAGAGCAGACTAAAGTTGTATGTGCAAAACAGCCTGGGAAGACACCAGAAGCCATTTTACAGAGAGACTTTCAGGGAGAGAAGGATAGAGCTTGAGGTAAGGACTTGACCACATCAGTTGCTGTATTAGTGAAACACAAAGGTCTGCCAGCTGTGATCCGGGTACCACTATTAACTGCACTAGGGTACACTGTCATCTTCAAAGTGCTGTATGACTTTTGTTCAGGAAGCCAAATGCTGTCCTTATGTTTAGACCTAGAGGCAGAAGCTGCAGATGTTGCCATCAGTGGTAATGTATGAACAAAATACATCTGGAAATGCCTACACTAATGTTTCCAGCTTTGAAAATGAGAAGACAAAGCACTGTCAGCCTTATCAATCCTTGAGTAACTTCTGCCATCCTTCAGAAAAGTCACACTGTGGCAATTCTAGTCACAGGACATGAAATTGTCAAAGTATTCCTCAAACACACTGTCCAATGATGAAAAAAAGTAGGTACGTAAGAATTGTTAGCTACAAGAATGAAGTGTGAAATGCCTGCTGTAACCACTTAAAACGTTGGTTGAATATCCAGAGAGTTTGGCTGAATTCTGATCGGATACAGCCTGGGCTACAGATCTAATCTCATTTGTCCCACAGGCAAATGGCACTTTAACTAAAAAAGTTTCATGATAATGCACAGGGTTGTATTATTGCAGAACAACTCTGCATTTTTTTTTCACTGTTACAGACACGGTTTTGTCATTGATTACAATAGCTCTGAATTGTGCATTTTACAACGCGTTGTATCATAACATATTTAATTGTGTTTTGTGACCATACAGACTGCAAACCACTTAGCCCCGGGACTCTCTGGGTGTTCCTGTCTTTAAATAAAAGCACCTTTCTCTCTGCAGTCACACTGGACTTTACAGAGACTAGGAATCAGAAATCAGATAAAACTAAGAGTAATCCACCTTCTCCAGTGTCCTGGAAGTGAAGTCATTACAGGAGTCTTATATTTACTACATCATTTACCTTTGAGCAGCTGTCCTTGCACACACTCCCCCAAGGACTCCCTTGCAAACTCCAGATTCTGCCTATAAACAGCATTGCAGTGTTCGTGGTAGAGCTAGACTATCCGAAAGACAATCCTCCTGGTACATAGGATTACATATCAGTTAGGATTTTTTCCCAGGATTATTTCTCACCCAGCAGGTATAGTTCCTTGATGAACTGCTGTCTATGAATATGTTCCCCCCGCCCTCCCATTCTGTCCATAAAGAGTTACATAAATTATTGTTTTGTTACTGTCCAGTAAAATAACATGGAAAATAAGCTCAGGATCCTTGAGAACAATTACTCAGCAGCCCAATTCTCAGTACGCAGGAGGAGTTCTACTTTGTCCTCTCAGTTGTTAGCTAAAATCAGAGTTTTTGAAATTTGAATGAAATGGTGAATCTGTTCAGAAAAAAAAAAAAAAAAAAAGAAGGTCACTATCTATTAGTAAAGATGTTGGAGTAGGCCCAAGGAACTGTAAGATATTGCTATACTTTTGAGTTACAGCAGTATCAGTATTACACTGTTAGTGTGAACTCCAAGCAGTCTTTGCAGTCTTTGGCAGGGCTGTCATAATGTGTTTTGCGAGCTAAAATATATTTCAAGTATGTAATTGTTGAAGACCTCAATACATGAACATATGGAGCCCAATTACCAGGGAAAAACTCCAGACTTGGCCTGGCAAAAGCATACCAGAACTATTGACTGATCAAAAACTGAAAGCAAAAAAGGTGTTGAAGAAGTCATCTGTAATTAAATGTTATTTTTAATTGTTATTGTTACATGAATGATGAAACCAAGTAAAAATATCTGTTCACAATGACACAGGACCCTCCCTATGTGGAAACATTAACTCTGGCCATGTCAAGGGAGCTATTTTATTGCCAGTACACTGGTTATAGAAAATAAAGAGCCACGTTGAAACAGTGCAATTGCCAATCTAACCTACAGGTGGAGTAGGAAAATGGACTCATGAAGAGGATCAGGAAAGACCTTATTAATATAAAGCTCACACAGAGTTTCAGTTATCATTGCCCAGCAGCAGGTTGAGATCCTTCCCTTGGTAAACCCAGGTACCATGAGCCTTGTGCGATGGGTGAGCAAAGCGTCCTGAACCAGAGACTGGCTCACCTGTGCCATGTGTTTTGGTGGGACAAGTCTCGAGCAGAGGGCAGCTCCAAGGCCTCTCTGCAAGCAGTTCTGCTGTAACCCAATGAACCAGCATCAGAATCCCAGCTCTCTCCAGCCTGCACAGGCTTCTGGTTTGTTTTTGCCTGGAATTCCATATCCTGATTTTAAGGCTACAGCCACAACTGATTTGGGATCTGGTTATCTGAAGAATACCCTTTTTCTCTTAGAAAAACAACAATGCAGCTTCCAGGAGTGTAATTCAAACTGAAGCCATTTTGATTTAAATAAGAGGAGGCTGCTGACACTGCGTTCCCTGTGAAGGGTCCTGGATGCTGGGATTAGCTCTCCTTGCTGAGCCTCCCAGAGCCTGAATTTGTCAGTCTTTTAGACACGTTCTTCATTTTTTCACACTAATGTGAATAATGAGGAGCTTTTCAAAAGGCTGGAGCCATGCCAGTGGAAAAGTAGTGGAAATAAGACGACCAGAATCAGTCTAGTGGAAATCCATGGGAGTTCAGCCTGTGCTTTATCTGTGGGGCAACTGTTGGCAGGCAAGAAATAGTTGTAGGGTTTCCTTAGCTGTCACTTGGTACACTGTAAATGCAAAGCTCCAAGTGCTCTGCCTCAAGAGTAATAAATAAATAATACATTAATGAGTGAATAATGCATAGACTTTTAGCGGAGTGGAAACAGTGCTAAGAACATGCAATCACAAAGAAGCACACAGATGCTGTATTACAAAACCAAAAAAACCCCCACTGCAAAACCCCAAAAAATCCCCTCCCCAAAAGAAACACTGCCACAAGCAGACCAATTATAGGTTATGAATAACATGTGAGGAAACAATAAAGATTTTACTTTTGCTACATCCATACTGATAAAAAATTCTTTTATTGCTGAATCTGTGAGCTGCAGTCAGGCACAGATGTTCCCTGATTTCAAACAGTTCTGAATTAATTTTTATGCTCATTCATTATGTCTAGACAAGGAGGGTCACTCTTCTCCAAAGTACTCTGTTAAATGAATAAATATTTATTTCAACAGGCAAATGGAAAAAGCTCTTTCCTGGCAGAGTTCTTGCAGAAAGATTTCCACCTCTGTCTTGCTAAACTCTTGCCACTTTTGCAGGAACTGGGGCATTTGTCCAAGACATTTTGAACAAATACTTTTCTTTTTATAAACCTGTTCAAGCAGAGAAACTGGTTTCTTAGGTACCTTGGCAGGCAGGATTTAACTAAGTCTTACCAGGATGGGAAAAGTGGAGGGACCCATG